AAAATAAATAAATTTCCTACAAATTATTTCAAACTGTCAGACAAATGCCTCGATTGTTATCAATGCTGAAAAGGGTTTAAATGGATGTGCCCTTTTCATTGGCGTCGTTTGGGGGGGGGGGGGCAAGGGGGGCATTTGCCCCCCCCTAGAAATAGTCTTTTGAACAAGAAAGCAGTAAAAGAGAGTTCATATTCGTATCGCTTTTTTCCATTTTTTCAAAATTTGTTAGGTACTTATTTTATAGTCTGGCAACGGTGCGTATCTTGCAATAAGTGCAAGAGAGTTACTATTTTATATTTTCAAGAAAAAAGTGTTTGGTTTTTAGTCTTTACTATTATTTATCTTTCGATTAAGACTAAAATGTTTATGTTTATGAATGATTTTTCTGTTTTGTTTTAAGCTTTACCTGTAGTACAGTTTAAAATATTTTTTTTTTAGACTCAGAATAAGTTACTTCCTTTGTTCCTACCTAAGCAGTTCTAGAATCTGTAGTTTTATTTTTGTTAGACTGTCCCGTTGGAAAAAAATTGGTTTTTCGTTCCTATTTTTGTAAAACTTGTAATTTGTGCAATTGTATCTGTAGGTATTTTTAATAAAACATATATTTTGATGAAAGATTAGTGATTACCTATTTCAGTAACGACCTTCAATGAATACAGTGTGCGGTGAAAAACTGGCTGACATTTTCATTACATTCAACGGAATTGAATTTCACTTGACTTAGGGCCGGTATTATAAAACACTGAACCGATGGTAGAGTTTCAACCTTCGGTTGAATCCTATCAATTTGCATGGAGTCAACCGAAGGTTGAAACTCAATCATCAATTCAGTGTTTTATAATACGTAGGTAGCGGCCATTAGAAAATTACCTAAACAAATGATGCGGACAATGAATTTGTTGCGGAAAAAAATACCATCATTTTTAACCAAATATCGATATCAAATAAGTACGTTAAAATGCTCAAAAAGGGGCGTGGCACCAAAAAAAAAATTACTGCCCCCCCTGAGAAACCTTCTAACGACGCCCATGGTCCTTTTCTCAATATACAGTGAGGACATAAAGTCCGTCGCCCCCCCTCTAACTTTTGATACGCTCGGTATATTGCAACGAAATTTGGAATCATGACATGTGACTAGATTCTCCATTTTTTGGAAAATAAATGACAGCTTCAGGTATCAAAATGACAGCTAGGCGCAGTTTTGAAACGTTTTTTTAAATAGAAGGCGGTGTCGGATGACATATCGTTTTGAAGGTCTCTTTATTCTAAATTTAATCCCCGATTCTGAAAACATTTGGTTTAGCGGTTTTCAAATGATGACGAAAAAACAAAGGCTTGTTTTGCTCATAAACGCTCATAAAAAAAAAATTAAAATTTTTTCATCGGTTTTTTATTCATTATTTAAGTTACCAATGTCATGACGTCATTATTATTACTGAAAAAAAAGAAACAATAATGAATAAAAAAGCGATAAAGAATTAATTTTTTTTTATGAGTGTTTATGAGCAAAACAAGCCTTTGTTTTTTCGTCATCATTTGAAAACCGCTAAACCAAATGTTTTCAGAATCGAGAATTAAATTTAGAATAAAGAAACCTTTAAAACGATATATCATTCGACACCGCCTTCTATTTAAAAAAACGTTCCAAAACTGCACCTAGCTGTCATTTTGACAGCTGAAGCTGTCATTTGTTTTTCAAAACATGGAGAATCTGGTCACATATCATCGTGCAAAATTTCGTTGCAATATACCTAGCGGTTCAAAAGTTAGAGGGGGGGCGACGGACTTTATGCCCTCACTGTATGTATTGGATATCATCATTTAAAATAAATAATAGAAATATGTTATGAAGACTAATTTTCTTTTTAAATTTAATTACCATTAAATTTATCCAGTGTTCATCATCTTGTCCATAGCTCATCATCCTTCCATCACTGGCCGACCTGAAAAGGACAAACATTATTTTATTAGAATGAAAATAAAAATAAAAAAATTTCCTTTAAATTATTTCAAACTGTCAGACAAATGCCTCAATTGTTATCAATGCTGAAAAGGGTTTGAATGGATGTGCCCTTTTCTCAATATATGTATTGGATATCATCATTTAAAATAAATAATAGAAATATATTATGAAGACTAATTTTCTTTTTAAATTTAATTACCATTAAATTTATCCAGTGTTTATCGTCCTGGCCATAGCTTATCATCCTTCCATCATTGGCCAACCTGGAAAGGACAAACATTATTTCATTAGAATAAAAATTTAAAAAAATAACTTTCCTACAAATTATTTTAAACTGTCAGACAAATGCCTCAATTGTTATCAATGCTGAAAAGGGTTTGAATGGATATGCCCTTTCCTCAATATATTGGATATCATCATTCAAAATAAATAAAAGAAATATATTATAAAGATTAATTTTGTTTTCAAATTTAATTACCATAAAATTTATCCAGTGTTCCTCATCCTTTCCATAGCTTATCATCCTTCCATCACTGGCCAACCTGCAGAGGACAAACCTTATTTTATTAGAATGAAAATGAAAATAAATAAATTTCCTACAAATTATCTCAAACTGTCAGACAAATGCCTCAATTGTTATCAATGCTGAAAAGGGTTTGAATGGATATACCCTTTTCTCAATATACTGGATATCATCATTCAAAATAAATAATAAAAATAAGTTCTAAAGACTAATTTTCTTTTTGAATTCAATTACCATCAAATTTATCTAGTGTTTCTGATCCTGTCCATAGCTTATCATCCTTTGATCACTGGCCAACCTGAAAAGGACAAACATTATTTTATTAGAATGAAAATAAAAATAAATACATTTCCTACAAATTATTTCAAACTGTCAGACAAATGCCTCAAACATTATTTTATTAGAATGAAAATAAAAATAAAAAAATTTCCTTTAAATTATTTCAAACTGTCAGACAAATGCCTCAATTGTTATCAATGCTGAAAAGGGTTTGAATGGATGTACCCTTTTCTCAATATATTGGATATCATCAGTGATGTAAAATGACGGTCATTTGCGTCATGACGGTCATGACCATGGTCATAGTTTATAGTAATTATTTCAATTTAAAACGCTACTTCCTACAGTCTATCGTCTATTAACTCAAAGATGGGTTAAAAATAGGGATAGTCAATTTTAGGGCCGAATTTATAGTCGGTCCTTGAGGTTTCCTCAGAACCTAAAGAAGCCTTGAACGTTTAGAATTGACATGACTAACTTGTCAAATAGTAGCAAGCTCAGAGGAATAGCAAGTATCCATTCTAAACTCGCGACTCCAAGGAAGATTCAAGGAACGACTATAAATAAGCTCGGTCCTTAATGATTATAACGTTTTGACAAATTATTAAGGATTTCAGAACAGAATAAATTTCTACAAATTACAAAATAGGTAAGTAAATAAGCCTAGCATTCCTAGCCTAGCAGGTAAAATAAAATAACAAAGATAATAGTTATTCACATGACAAATGCAGAAGTAATACTTCATCGTAAAACGTCGGTAAATGCATTTCCGTACTTATGTGTTAGGTACAAAATTATACCTATGAACAATGAGCATCTATATCTCCCAAAGAAGGCATTATTGAAATTTCTGAACGAGTACTACTTTACTGCACAGTACCAAAAAATACTGCGAACGATAATGTATAAATTTTGATGCTCTGATGTTATTTGTGAATATTGGGTAGTTATAAAGTGCAGAAAATTTTAATTTTTCGCGCAGTGAGACAGTTAATGACTATTTATCGGATGGTTAAATAATTGAACGAGTACATCCAATATTAGACACAGAGATTGTGAGGACAAGTAGAACAATAGCGCATGAATGCAGAAAAAAAGCAAGGTAAATTCCTTAAGGTGCGTTTACACATGCATGGATTTAGTGACGCCAATAAAAACTGGCGCGCTAGTAAATTTCATTAGCAAGTGTAAACATGGACTTGCATACACATTTTATATTTGCATGCATAGTCCAAAAAAGTCTGCATCCTTCTGAAATCACTGGCGCCAGTGGTGACAAATTCGTACAGAAAATCAAAACTTGCAAGTGTAAACAAGTGCTTGCACGTCGGCGTCCGCTCGCCAGTTTTTCGTTTGATTTTCAATTCGGTTGCTGCGAGTTCTCCTAGAAGTTTTGCAAAACTCTGCAAAAGCAGCCAAAGTGGCTCGACGACCAATCCGTGGTTCAACCCAGAAACGGCCATTTCGTTGGTTGCGTTTCTTTTTCTGTATTTCTTTTATCTTTTTTTTTACTAAAAGTTTAGCGACTATTTTACAGGCTTCGGAAAGTTCACTCGACATAGTGCACACCATAAAGGTGAGTTTACACATGCATGGATTTAGTGGCGCCAGTGGTCGCGCCAGTTCTATTTGCACGCCAGTAAAGGTTTACACTTTGTACGAAAAACAGAAATAAGTGCCACGCCAGTTTCACTTTTAAAGTGCTTTTCTCAGGGTGCACTATGTCGAGTGAACTTTCCGAAGCCTGTAAAATAGTCGCTAAACTTTTAGGAAAAAAAAAAAGATAAAAGAAATACAGAAAAAGAAACGCAACCAACGAAATGGCCGTTTCTGGGTTGAACCATGGATTGGTCGTCGACCCACTTTAGCTGCTTCTGCAAAACTTCTAGGAGAACTCGCAGCAACCGAAATGAAAATCAAACGAAAAACTGGCGAGCGGACGCCGACGTGCAAGCACTTATTTACACTTGCAAGTTTTGATTTTCTGTACGAATTTGTCACCACTGGCGCCAGTGATTTCAGAAGGATGCAGACTTTTTTGGACTATGCATGCAAATATAAAATGTGTATGCAAGTCCATGTTTACACTTGCTAATAAAATTTACTGGCGCGCCAGTTTTTATTGGCGCCACTAAATCCATGCATGTGTAAACGCACCTTAACACACAAAACACCTGGCCTTGTGTTTTTTTTTTATGATAATAAATACATTGCAATAAAAATAAACAAATTGCTATGGAGGGCAATGAACTCAACGAGGACCAATGCGTGAAGTGTAAGAATAACTGTGAGGAAGAATATTATAACTGTGACTCCTGCCTGAAGAGAATTCACAGGAAATGTTCAAATATTGCACCATCTGAAGCAAGGTGTATGCCCCTTCAAAAGCGGATGCTACTGTTGATATGTGAAGAATGCAAATCCCTAATTGCAAGAATGCCTTTTATTATAAGGATGTTGGAAGAAATACAAAGAGATGTCGAAGCCCTAAAGACCGCTCGGCCAAAAGAATCATATGCAGCAGCAGTAGTACGGAACGAGACAAATAGAGAGGGCGATAGGACATGCCTGCCCACAATTATAATCAAACCTAAAAAAAATCAAAACCCACAGGAGAGTAAGAGTGAAATTCAAAGATCAATTAACCCATCAACGCTTAAATTGGGAATAAGAAATATAAAAGAGACAAAACAGGGAAATATAGTTGTGAAATGTGACACTGAACAGGATTTGAAACACTTTAGAAGGGAAGCAGAAGATAAACTAGGAGAAAACTATGAAATGGAGCTACCAAAGAAATATTTGCCCAAAGTTAAAATAGCAGGGTACAGTGGTGGAGAGCCACTGGAAATTATAGAAGAAAAAATTAGGAATCAAAATAAATGGATAAACAGTACTGAAGGGTTGAAAATCACATACATCAAAAGCAAGAAAAATGCTGAAAATTCAACAATTTATGCAGAGTGTTCAGGAACACTTTTCAACAAAATGATAGCGCAGGGAAAGATATATATCAACTGGCAGCGTCTGCCTGTGTACGAAGACTTGACAGTGTCCCGTTGTTTCAGGTGTCAGGGTTTCAATCACAAAAGTGCGAAATGCAGCATGGAACAAGTTTGCCAACTGTGCCGGAAGTCATGAATCTGAGTCCTGTGAAGGTATAATAAAAAAATGTGTAAACTGTCGAGAAGCAAATAAAAAATATAAACTACAACATGATACAAATCACTCAGCTCTGCATAGTGAATGCCCATCCCTAAAATATCGTTTAAATTTATTGAAGAACAAAACAGACTATTATTCTTAAAAAATGGTAATACACGACGAGGACGAGATTCTGGAAGACATTGGAAAGAATGATATCGAAGATAAAACTGTGAGGCTGGAAACACTGCAACAAATTGATGCAAATGACTATCTGTTAAGTGTAATGCATTTTAATATTAGGAGTTTTAACAGAAATATTGATAACCTAATTCTATTTCTAGAAACATACAAGCTATATACCATTGATATCATTGTTTTGAGTGAAACCTTTCAAATTGATGCTATCAAGAACTGTAATATCCCAGAATATCAAATTTTTTATAACCAGGCAAAATATAATAAAAACGAAGGAACAATAATATTGGTTAAAAGACATATTAATGTTGATTTCTCATTCTCTCTTCTACCAAACGCTAAAGCCACAGTTAGTAGAAAACAATTTCAAATAAGAAACATGACAATTGGACTGACAATAACTTACAAACCACCACCTATCCCAAAAGTAGATTTTGTGAATGACTTACATGCTTACCTAGAATCCTTAACCAGCCTTAATATTGAAATATTTACTGGGGACATTAATATAGACATCTTAAATGATAATGACAATCAAGTAATAAACTATATTGGGATGATGAATGTCATGGGGTTTCAAAGCTATATTAATTCTGTAACAAGACCAGCCTCAAAAACCTGCCTTGATCATATTTTTGTTAAAAAAAAGCTAAACGTAAATAAACTCAATTTCAAATCTTATATCATAGAAGAGGATATATGTAACTGATCATAATCCGATTGCACTATTTATAAATCAGGAAAAAGACTCTCAAATTAGAAAAAATTATCAGGAAACAGTTTTGAAAACAAAGTTGGATGTTTTCAAATTCAAGCAGTTATTGCGCGATTTCGATTGGTCTGGTGTAAAAAATGAAAGTGATCCAGAATCTGCTACAAACTTATTTTTGGACATTTACCGAAAATTGTTAGAGGATGCAACGGAAAGTAGATATGTAAAAATGAAGAACTATAAAAGGATTAGGGATTGGATTACAAATGGAATTGTCACTTCAATCAAAATCCGAGATAGAATGAAAAAGAAATTAATAAAAAATTATGATGAGCGACTGGAAAAGCAGTACAAAGAATATCGCAATAATTTGAACAAGTTAATTAAAAAACAAAAAAATGGTTACTATAAACATAAAATTGAAGTTAATAAAAATAACATAAGAAAATTATATACAGTAATAAGAGACGCAACATATGAAAGTAAAGGCTTTGGCAATCTGTTAAATATAAAGGACAACAATGGACAGGAATTTATTGATGAGAAGGAAATGGCCAATTTTTGCAATGATTATTTTATCAATGTCGGAATAGAAATGGAAAAAGAAATCCCCCAACCACAAAGACCTTGTAACGCAGAAACACCTGTGAGCAATTCCATATACCTAAGACCCGTAACACAACAGGAATTGATTAAAAATATAGCGAGTCTAAAAAACAGCAGCTCCCCTGAACATGATAACATTAGTGCAAAAATTATAAAAGAAACACATACAGAAATAGCCGATCCACTATTGCACCTGCTTAATTTGATATTGGAAAAAGGAATAGTCCCGACCCAGTTCAAAACATCGATTGTAACACCAATTCATAAAGCTAACTCTAAGGAAAATATAACACACTATAGGCCAATCAGTTTAATCACAAATTTTGCAAAACTTTTAGAGAAATCCCTCAAAACTAGACTAATCGATTTTATGAAACATAACAAGATTTTATCCCACAACCAGTTTGGTTTTCTTGAGGAGACCAGCACAGCAGATGCAATGCATAAATTGGTAACAGAAGTTGTAAATAACCTAAACAATAAAAAAAAATGTCTGGCCATATTTTTAGATCTTGCAAAAGCTTTTGACACTGTGCCACATAACAAACTGCTTGATGTCCTCTACAATTATGGAATACGTGTGATAGTGCACAAACTGTTCAAGAGCTACTTATCCAATAGATTGCAAAGGGTGAATACCTCAAGGAACAGTCTTGGGTCCCATACTTTTTTTGACTTACATTAATTCATTGTTGAAACTACCTTGGAGGGAATAGTGGTATCTTATGCAGATGACACATCGGTAGTTGTATCAGGAGACGACTGGGAAACAGTGAGGGAAAAATCAGTAAGGTGTTTCAAAATTATAAGAAATTGGCTACAAACATACAAATTAACGTTAAATATATTAAAAACTAACTATATAGCTTTCTCCCTCAATAATGTAAACAGACCTTTATTTAATTCAATAATTGGTGATGATCAGACTATCAAGGAAACCGCTTCTACAAAATATTTGGGGATCATAATTGACAAGTTTCTTAAATGGCAACCTCAAATTGAATATCTATCTAACAGAATACGGAAACTTATACACAAATTTTACTTATTGAGAGAATTTTTAAATAGAACACATTTGATGATGGTGTATAAAGCCTTCATCGAATCCATTATCAGGTATGGTATTATTGTTTGGGGAGGACTATACAATAACAGTCTACACAAACTAAACATTATACAGAAATACATACTTAAAATTATATTCAAAAAAGATAGATTATACCCATCACATTTACTTTTCAATGATGATATTTGTAGCGTAAGATCTATATATATATATTGACAGCGTGCACTTTCATGCATAAAAACCCTGAACTGCAGCATTTTGTTGACCATAAGCATAACACTCATACCAGAGCAAAAAATAGTTTACAACTACCAGTGAGCAACAACAATCTAAATCTAAAATATATAAATTATTTAGGACCAAAAATTTACAATTTATTGCCTTTCTCCATAAGACAATGTGGAAATTTGAAATCTTTCAGAACTCTAAGCAAAGAGATAGTTTTACGAAATCACCGTCAATTTGAAAGGTGGTTTGATTGAGGCCTAATTTGGGTATAGGTTTAATTTAGGATTAAGTTAAATTAGGTTTGATTTGGCATTGGGGTTAAGTGGGTGATAACGGGGTTTTTGTCGATTATTCATTTTGTTACTTTCTTTTTTCTTTGTCATTTTTCTTCTTAAATAGGGGAAAAGAGGTTGTGAACTGTTTGTGTCCGCCGACCGTCTAAGTATTTGTGATGTTTTTTTTTCGATTTTTTGATTCTCTTTAATTGTATAACATATCCCTAACATTAAATTAAAAATATTTGGTACCTACATTTAGAGCACATACAGATGTTTATAACATCTAGGTGCTACAAAATAAATCTTGTTTAATATGAATTTAATTAAGAGCAAATTCTTACAACTTATTGTGAATCAAAACTTGTATGTATGATCAAATAAATAAAAAATAAATATTGATCAAATAAATATTTCCACACTAAGCAGTAAAATGGTCGTGACCAACGGTCACATTGAATGTGACGTGACGGTCATGACCCGCCGTCATGCGCGCTGGTCATGACACACTAACACTGGATATCATCATTCAAAATAAATGAGAAGGTCAATGGATAATAAGTATGTATGTATATGTATTTATGTATAATTTATTTATTTGCATTTAAAATTTCTCAAAATCACAGGCCGCCTCTGGTAGTGGGAAAAGCGACATACGACAGTGTTGCCGTTTTATAGGTCTCTTACTTATGTAATGGTCTTCTAAAAGATGATTGATTGTAAGCATTGTGCGATTTCTAAATGGCATTTTTGGTCTCTAGTTTTATTATTAGTCAGAGTTATTATTGGCAAGTTTAATGATGTCTGATGAAAATTGCAAAGTAAGGACTTTTGTTTAACATAATATTTGGCAACACTGCAAAATATCAGCTGCTGAGCTGAAGGGCATGGTCATATGGAAATCTCTTGATTTTCGGCATTTTTTCGATTGATTTTTTCTGCTCAAACGGGCCTCATCTAGTGTTTAAAAAAAATCTACTCTCTTCAAAGGGATCTACTTAAAAAAATTAAGAAAATCCGTGGTACCCCAAGTCGACCATGCAGACCCCATAAATTATCATAACCCTACTTTATAAAAATCCGTTGGCTAAACTCGTTAACATACCAAAAAATTTGATCTGATAACGTTAACAGAGGATTGAGAGGATCAAAAATTATGTAGGACTGGACGCACCGGGCAAAATGAAATTATATAACTGCAACCCATACCATGGAGCGTGGAGCAGAGAAATTATTTGCATTTTGTAATGGGACTGGATGCTCGTCCGATAATCGGAATAATAGTGTTTTTGTTTCTATTCCGATTATCGGGTTACTAGTTTATTTTGGTATTGTTCCGCAAAATGTTCACTTATTATTTTTGGACTAATAGCATTTACTCATATTATTCCGAACATTTTTATGTTTATAAAAAAAAGTAGTTGGCGCGGTAGTTGGAGTTTGACAGGTTGTTGGATTGCCTATTTGCCTAATTAGAGACCAAAAATTCCATTGTAGCACAATTTTGAGAAACAACCCCTATAGCTAAGAGCGCGGAAGAGGAAAGTTTCTGAATCCGGTGTTTTTACACTAAGAACGCCCGGCCCTCTTGAACAATCCTGAAAAAATCAGTTTGCCCCTATTTTTTTTATTTTTTTTTCACACCTTCCAAAAATACAATTATCTTTGACTGATATTGTGATTCAAGAAGTATTGTCTTTACTGTCTAATTATGTATAGGTACTGACCTTGCTTTTCGCATGCCTTTGCTAAGTGATTTAAATCTTTTACCACCCTGATGGCAAGTATATTCTAATTAGGCGATTCAATCCATCTGTCAAAAAGGAAAATTCAATGTGGCGTGGCGGCCAAGCAAGTTTGTTTTGAATATGTTTTTATGCGTATTTTAAATTATTTTGCATACAGTTTTGCT